ACTGCATACGTTCCAGTACACATACATGTGCTTCAGAACAAATCCCACCAGGAGTCGAACTTGTCATTCATTCCATAGTATTCATCCAGTCCACAATTGATTTACAACCCAGTTCAGAAAACAGAGATCACCGATCGTCCCAGAAACCAGGCTGTAAAAGCATAAACGAGCGGTAGAAAAAATTGGCCAATATCTAGACGGTCCGCCGATGACGATGGGCTGCTGTGTTCATCCGGTCATGCAGTGTTCTAAAAGGGGCCCGAAAGTGAGACATTCCGGCGTACCCACCGAAGCCTCTTTGGCGAACACGAAAATGTATTTCATGTGGACGAACCCCGTCCTACCGGCGAGCGACCTGCCTATAGCATCCCGTATCGAGGACGCTTTAGCTTCCACCTCACACCACGCATCTACGTCGCCCACCTTGCCCCCGGTCACCAAATCCCATGTCCCGTCAAATTCTCTTGTTACCAAACGCATTCCTCCTCTCCCCATCTCCAATTCATTTCTGGACACGTACACCACAACGTCAGTCAAGGTCCCACCCCGGTTTGAGCACGCGACGCAAAGGACCCTACAACAATGAAACTTTCCAAGACGCAGCCTAACGGATCAATACGAAACTGTTCGGGGCAACAACCCAAGAGAGCGCAAGGGGTACTCGTCGATGAAATCGGAATGCTTTGCACAGGCAAGCAACTCATGTTTCAGCGAACGGGGCCAGGTGCGCGGCAAAGTAGTCACGATGTTGCAGTCCAACACATTGTAACGACGGTTGAACCGCAGCTTGGTACTCAAGTGACAGCACTGAACATAACAAAGCACAACAGTGGGCACAAGAATGAAACTGCCGAACGCGCACATATTCGCGAATTTGTAGTTGTCCGCCCAAGGGCAGTCCTTGACCATTTTCTCCCAAACATATTCCTGCCACAAGTCCAGGTGAGTGTCGTAGAATGGAACGACCGTCATCCACGGATCACTTTCTAAATCGTCTCTTGTCACACCGTCAATGACAGTGGACTGTCCACACCCGGAGACACGCAGCGAGCATGGGGGGAAAGGGTATGCAATGCGTTCGCGCCAAAGCCCGGGGGTCATCCAATCCGAGATTCCCATCGCGATCGGCAAACGCCCTGCACGCCAAATTAAGACAAATCAGCAAATGCACACACACAGCCCGCAACTAATTGTTGTGTTCAACACAATGAATGATGTCCGGCCCGCAGCTCATCGTCGTGTTCAACACAACGATGAGCTGCGGGGCAGGAAAGAAAACCACAACAGCCCGACGGTTTCAACAAGACGATGACGTGGGCGAGGGCAGGACTGCCCCACGGGTGATCGTCGTGTTCAACATGATGATCACCCGCAGGGCAAGCCTGCACTCGTCCTCATGAATCCCTCCCCGCCGTTCATCGTCGTGTTCAACACGACGATCAGTTGTCGTGCTTAGGGCAGGACTGCCCCACGGGTGATCATCGAGTTCAACACAATGATCACCCGCAGGGCAAGCCTGCGCTCGC